TGTCCACGCCTGGTTATGCTACAGCCTGTACGTGAGAAAAGTTGTGCGTGCAACCTCTGTTTACATCCACACAGGAGGCCCCTTGGAATAGGATCTCCTGCACCATGAATAAGGTGATGGCCTATTGTAAACTGACTTCCTATGATGCAAAAAGCCAGAAGAACCCGCCCTACTTGCATATTATTAATCATTCAGAGCTGGGGAAAGCCATTATGAGTGACTCTTAGATGTTTCCCATGCTATTGCCAGCAGGCAGTGCTCAGCATATACATTGCATTGCTTAGTTTGTATGGGTTTCTTACACTTGAACTTCCTTGGCTGGGGAATCATGTTATTAGCTGCAGTTTGTACACACAGAGATGGGAGAGGAGAAAACCTGTTGTGGGTATGAACAGTGAGTAGTAATTGTTTACTTTTGCTTTCTCTTTAATCTGGGAACGGGAGGAATTTGGGGGGCTTTCCTGGATGTTGAAGGTCTTCTAATTTTCTGCCATTAGAGAAATGAATTGTCTCCTGAAAGGCGACAGTGCAGTGGAGTCTGTGGATCAGGCAGGGCCAGTAAACAGAGATGTAACAAGGCAGCTGGACACCTAGGGCATCAGCAGCTTCTGGCTGCCAGTGATCAACACAGCTGTGGCAGCAGATGTTAGTTTTGTGTTCATTCTCTCTCTGCTCCCCACCCTCTCTCCTGCCCCAAGTCGGCACCTGGGGCTGCTGCCCCAGTTGTCCTGCCTGAATTACATTACTGCTAATATGATAAATAATTGGGATGGCCTGTGGCTAGAGATTGGAGATGAAGCAAGAGTTACAAAAAATAAGCTCTGAAGCCTAACATAACAGCTATTTTCTTTATAATGCTGCCTTAATAGAAATGTGCCTTTGTGTTACCATTCCTAATTGGCTTTGGTAGATTAGTGAGCCATGAGAGATCATTTCTTTTTTCTGTTCTTATGCTTCTGGGTTCATAGAGAGAGAGAGGGAGTTACTGATGATTATCTCTTTCCTTTACCTGTCATTGTCATTCTCTTCAATTCCAGTGTTGCTCATAAGGGGCTGTGTGTCAGTTTCCTCACAATAATATACTCTTTAAGAACGCGTCTTCTGACTTCTCAGGAAGCAAGGAGGATTAGTGAGAAAAAGTAAAGAAAAGAAAGGTCAGCATGGTAGTCAGTCCTTCTAACACTCTTCATTTTAGAGAAATGCACATCATACTCTTTGTCAAATCCTGGGCTACATCTGAGTTGTGTTCGGTGCATGGGGGGCGGGAGGAGAAGGAAAAAAGTAGATTTAAATCACTTTTATACCCCCCTCATCCTGAGTCGTCTGGTCACAGGGGTGTCTGGGGCAATTGTGGAAGCAAAATACAATTGAGTGTAAAGGTGCTCTGGCACAGTCCCTTCTCCTGGCCATGACCCCCACACTAAAGACAGGGAAGAGGCTGACAATGAGGGAGAATCCCGTAGGCTCCCCAAGAAGAGTACACCAGAGGACAGAATAAGGCAGCTGCTGCAATGCTAATAGTCTAGATGAATTATTGTTTTCTTTCCCTTGAAGCCCTTTGGCTAGGGACAGACATTACACATAAACCTGTTTAAGTGATCAGAAACTGGTTTAAACTTGTAACAGAACAGACACATAAACAAGTTTCAAAATGGCCGAAACTGGTTTGACATAAACCAGGTTAAATGTAGTATCAGATTTAACTGATTTGGATCAAACCAGTTTATGCAATGTCTGTCCCAGACCCCTTCCTGGTTTAACTTAAACAAGACTCCCCCAGCATCCCAGCGTGCTCTCTGGGCTGGCTTCTGCTCAAGTCCAGTCAGGCCAGGCCCATCCTGGCAGGAGGGGGCTTATTCCACCAGATGCTGCCCCAAGCACAGACCAAGCAGTGGCTGCGGCTGGGCTGGTCAGACCCAGCTGTCGTGCCCTGGGGACAGAGTGGAGAATAACCCCATGGCAGCTCTGCCAGTCCCTCAGCACAACACCCCCACTGGGAAGGGGCTCATGCTCCCTGACATTATGACAGGGACTGCTGCCCCCACCAAAGGCCCTGCTCCCTTCTGCTGCAGTGGTGGGGCGGGGGCATTGCTAGATGCCAGCTGGCAAAGCCCTCTGGTGAGGCAGGGTTGGGGGTTATTCCCCCTCCCTCTGGCGTCCAGTGGAGGGGACAGCAGGGGGCTTATTCTGCTGCTGAGAGCAAGTGTGGTGGTGCCAGTGAGCAGACTGGGCTGGCAGTGGGGTAGAGGGGAGACTAACCCTCCTCCCTGTGCCCCTCTGCCTCAGGGGCCATGGTGCCTGCTGCTGCAGCAGTGAGGGGGGAATGCAGGCAGACCCGGCTGAGGTCCCTACCAATGGCACAGGGAAGGGGGAATTAAACCCCTCTCTGGCCAGTTCATCCCAGATTGGCCATGCCCCAACCCCAAATACAGCTCCTCTGCAGTGGAGGGTGCGCTCTAGTGCCCCCCAGCACCTGGCCTGAGCAACTGCAGGCATGTGCTCACAGTTCCTCAGTCCAGAGAGAACGTCTGTCCTGTTACAAACCGGTTCAACCTAGGTAGATTAGACAAATCTGCAAAGGTTGAATCAATTCAGGCTCTGGCTTTTTGAATGTCTGTCCCTAGCCTTTGTAACATAAGTAGGCTCTAGTATGTACATCAGCAGAGGCCAGCGTACCCTTCCCATCCTACTCAGACAACACACTCCAGTACTTCTGGAAGGCCACGTCATTTATATAGTAGCAGGAAACCTTGCTGTAATCAAAAGTCAGTTTAAGATGGATTTGTTTAGAACAATGTTATACCAATACACCTTTTTTCTGTGGCCTTCTCCTTTTTTCTATTGTTCTTCTCCTTTCTGAATTCTGGTAAAGCATTCCAAAAAAACAAATCCAGCTAATGTGAAGATATCCTACACTTGACAGATTTGGTTTTCACATTCAGGGTGCTCCATGACCTGATTTGTATTAATAATAATTTGGGTTCCTTGGAGGAAAAGTGCCATTTGCAAAGGATTTTGCAAGCAGGATTAGGTCCAACTGTTCATGTTTCTGACCATTAAATGTGCTGGAGTGAAAGTGTTGTAAAGATACCTTATCCCTACTTTTGAGAAGATAGTGATCCCTCCTTTACCATTTATGCATCTCACCCCATGTTAGATCCATTACATATTAACCAAAAGTGCATTCCTCAAAGTTACTTTCTTGAGTAACCTCTGCTTCTGTGACAGCTGCATAAAAAGATTATTTTATTTACTTACACAAATCCATTAAAACATAAAATCAGTAATTTACCCACTCAAAGGTAAAATCCTGTGTTAGACAAACAAGCCAGGAGGTGCTGTCTTGTAAAATGGAATAACTGTGATTAGGGTAGAAAATGTTAGCAAGTTCTAGCCATCCTTGTGAAATAAACAGAAGCAGCCACATTTCCTTATTGAACTTTACAGTCATGCACATACTGCAGTGCCTCTCAGTGAGTCACAGTTACTCACTCCTGATCACCCCCTCTGCACCATAAATTGGTATTTGGCCCCATACTGTTGTTGAAGGGAATCTCCAGAAGCAGCCCTGCAAACTGTGTGTCCTTTCTATCTCTTCTTTCCTAGACTTCAGTTAATGTAGAAAAGCACAAAGATAAAAAAGTGTCATATTTTAACACTCAGTCTTGTAACATTTAGCCACACAACTAGGCCTTAGTGAAATATGTCCATTGATTATGGGCTTGTCCATATGGGCACTCTGTGTTGATGGGAAGAAGACTAATTAAACTGTGACATGCCATGAAAACTGAAAGTCGATCAATAGACAGGGGAAGTGGGTTTTAATTAGGTTACTAAAAAGCTATTTTTGCTGATGTATTTAACTCAATTCCAATGCTTTAATTACCCCTTGCAAGAAATGATACCATGCAAGTGACTACCCCTTCAAACCCAGCGTTGGAGTGGAATGAATCTGAGATCACTAAGAAGTCCTCTAGTAAAACCCAAGATTAAAATTCCTGATGTTTCTGAGGGAGTGAGGAAAAAGGCGCAGGAGAATTGAAGGCCTACATTTTGTAAAGATTTGTGTTTGTGCTTAACTCTGATGTAGACTGTGTGGGCAACCCCACAAATGGGTAAGCTAAGCATATGCATAAGTCTCTGCAGGGTGGGGGCATTTTTTTTTACTTTAGTAATTTGTTAATGTTTTTATAGCCCCCTTCAAAGAACTAAAGCCATTATCTTCTTTAAAAGACTTATAATAAAAATCAGAAGATTTTACAGTAATGGCATCACAAGTCGCAGCTTACAACAGTGTTCCTGCAGTGTTTTGAGCTGTAGAAAAGTGGAACTAGCTTTGTGCAGTAACACTGTCATGGCTTGTGAGGTTCAACTGAGGCCTGATTATTGCTAGTTGAAATTTTTTATAAAGGAAGCCCTGGGAGAGTTCATATATCCCCATCCTACACAGAGTTAAAGGGAAGCAAATAGAATTACAAATAGGTTGAGACTGTAAGGTTGGAAGACCTCGTGAGTCATTTAGTCTAGCCCTCTGGACAGATGTAGGATTTGCTATTCCTATCCAGTCTCTTCTTGAATTATTATTCCTATTGAGTTTCTAATGAATGAGATTACAAAACTTCCCTGTGAGGCTTGTTTCACTTATCCTATTGTTTGATGTTTAGGAAGTTTTCCTGAGATTTGATCTGAATCTGTTTTGCTACAATTTAGACTCATGCCTTGTGCCCTCTGTGGCAAGGGAGAACAATATTTCTCTATCTTCTTTATAGTAGTCTTTTGAATATTGGAGAACTGCTATAATGTCTCCTCTACCCCTTTTAAGCTATTTTACTCCAAACTTTAATTTTTGTTTCCAGCATAAGTTCCATTTCTGCGTTGGCCTTTCTCGCTGCCTCCCTGCAAGTGCAGGCCAAGTAGGTATACTCCTCCTTTATTTGCCCCAAGGCTTTCCTGGATTTCCCTATTCAGCCAAGAGGGTTTCTTGGCCCCTTTGCTCCATTTCCTGCACAAGGGGATAGTCTCCTGCGCCCTTAGGACTGCTCCCTTTGGGAATGACCATTCTTCCTGGATCCCCATCTCACCAATTCTCTTGTTCTTCAGTGCCTTGCTAACTAATCTCCTGAGCACACTGACATTAGCCTTTCTGAATTCTAGCACTTTTTCCCTACTGGTTATCTTTCCCACCCTACACTGGATAGTGAATTCGATCAAGTGATGGTCACTGACCCCCTAGGTTACCTCGTGTCAGTAGATTCCCTGCCAAATCCTCCCCACATTGCCGACTCATGTTCATCTTGGAGTCAATAATGACTCCCAGATCCTTTTCCACCTCTGTGCTGACAAGAGGGGAGTTCCCCAGTCTGTATGTATGGTGCCGATTGTTCCTCTCCAGGT